GGGGGGGGGGGGGTTGGAGTGTCGCGCCAAAGCCAAAGCGAACCGGAGTAGAGTTACAGCCGGCCACGCGATACCGTCACGAGCGAACGTCGTTTTTGTATGCTTCGCGCTTTTTCTATCGTTATTTCCGTCGTGCCTTTTGTTTTTGGAGTGCATATTGGTGCAACGCGTTACGTGCATCGTTCGTTTACGCGTTTTCAGTGATACTGACCGTACCTCTCCGTCATCGTAGTTCATTGCCGCGAGTGCTTTGTCTGTGTGTACATACGTTGTGTTGTCCAGTGTGTTCTCAGCACGTGGATTATCACCGGTTCGGAGCGACGCTGTCTACGCACGGTGAGTATTCTTTTATCTTTTGATTTCTAAATTACGGTTCGCGAGTCACGTGAGTTAATAAATATTTATTGAGAAAAGATTTAATCATGCGTACATAAGAATTTTTGAAAAATCGTCGTAGCCTACTAGCGGTAACGATTCTGTCTCGTGAAAACGGCACCTGACGGAGAATCTCTATCTCCTTTAAAGCGTTCCCGCGTAACATTGTCTGATATTGTGCGCAAGCTTAGCTTACTTTATTCTCGATTTGTGAGATAGTTCGAATGCATAGTTAGGAAATTAGAAGAATTAAAGTGAGGAGATCCGCCATTTAATACATACGTTTACTATGGACGCCGTGAACACGCGTTAGACTGACGATGAGTTAAAATTACTAATATTAATATTAAAATTAATATATGGGAAAAGTACTATCAATAGAATTAGGTCTTGGTTAATACATTCATTATGAACATCGCGTTACATCAAGTTAATGTTATTAATACTGAAATTAAAAATAACATTACAAAAATTGTTCATACACGTTTACTATGGACGTTGTAGATTTGCGTTCCATTGAATTAATATTAGTAATATTAAGAGTTAAACTAATATAAAAGAAATTGTTATCTTAAATTATTATATTAGTGTGTTAATTATTGTGGATACTATTAGATCTAAATGAACACTAAGCAAGTTGTGCTTATTGTGAGTTTAGTATTATTAATATGAGTTTGAATTCAAGCTTTGGCAAAATGTTTGATCAGACTTTTCTGCTCTATAAACCTTAGCTTGATTCGAGTTGTGACCAAACCGTGAGCAATGTCTGTCTGTTTAAATAGAGTAGTAAGATAGTAAAATAGTAGTATGGTAACGTAATAGATTAGTGAAATAATAAAATAATAATATAATAGCATAATGATATAGTAAGACAATAGAATATTATTATAGCAGTATAATGGAAGATTAGGATAATAGCAATAATAATTTATTTATTTTCTAGAATTAGTAGAACAATGGAATAATAGTATGGTTCTGTAATAAAATAGTAGAATAACAGTAGTGTAGTGTATTATAATAATAATATGGCATTAAATATATCTGAACATGGATTGTTATAATTTTTAACTATAAGGATTCAATTCACAATGTCCACGTGTGACAGAAAAGTACCATTTTTTTACCACACACACATGCATATATAATTTCACATAAAAAATGATATGAATATTAATTGAGCGTAACGAGAATTCGCGGCATTCGCAGGGAACGTGTTAATGCTAATTCACGAGAAGTTCGGTTATTTTTGTACACACATGGTCCACGATAATTTGGATTTGCGTCGGCATCCCGACATTACGAGCTACCTTCCAGTAACCGCTCCAAATACCTGTTTCTCATGCGAATCTCGAAAAAAGCATCTGATTGCGTGGTCCTCGTGACGGAGCCGAACGAGCCGCAACGTTCCACGGTTAAAAAGGTGGGGAGGTACGTTGACTCTCGAAGAAGCTGCGAGTTTCGGATTCCTAGTATCTTGCTTGTAATCGTTGCATCGTGTAAACCAGTTTCCGCGTGCGAAAGGATGCTCGATGACATATCGAAACTACGTCATCGAACACGATCGCGATATTTTTAACGGAACATCCACATTTCGCGGCCTTAGGCGTATAATGCAAATTACAAATCTAGAAACAAATATTATTTGTTAATATCGTATGTTACGTACCTGTAAATATATGCACATTGTTATTTTCTTAGTTATTGTAAATATGAACAAATATTTCGTATATGTAGATCGATTGCCTTGTTAAACTTCACTGAAATCAGTGTGCAATATCTATTTGAAAAATACTTTGTTAGACTCGACACGATTTACGTACATCTTCAACATTTTGTACCGATTTTACAAACATATCCAATAAATTATCATTCAAAGTATACTCCTTATACACATTGTTGAATTCATTTTACAACGTGTAAAATAGCCATACCATATGCTAGTAACAGGTAACAGACATCTTAAGGGTTAAAAGTGATTAACATTGTAGCGTGTAGTGTAAAAACTCTCGAACATAGCTGGATAATTTTTTATCGAATATAAAAGAAGAGATAAAAATAGAAAATTAGTCATAGATCCTCAAGATGTACGCTCGTTAAAGTGTTAACAGTAGCCATCGAAATGAAACAAGAAACGAAGGAGAAGGCTGGCGGCAATAACGTTCGCCAAAAAGAACAAAAACCGGTAATTGCATGGTTTTTCTTGCAACGTGTTCGTAAATCGAAGGAATGGACGGGATTCTCGAGCCACGGAGGATGTTATTGACATGCTTATGGAATGTTTTAAACGTGGGTGGTATATTAAGCAGAAATGTTGCGTATGATGCACTGTTTCGTTTCACGAAACTTCTGACGGTCATCCTTTGACCATTCCTATAGCAAGAATTTTCGCCTGGGATTCTACGACCTCTAGATTTGTTACTAGACTTAAAGATTTATAAAAGATATGACAATGTGGATTTTGGAATTTGAGGATTTGATAATCTACAAAATTTCAGCGATTTGAAGAATTTACGGGATTTGGAAACTTTTGAATTTGGGATTTAGGGAATATCGGAAATATGGCATTGAAATCTAGGGAATTAAAGTATCCGAAGAAAGTGCGATGTGGGGAATTTGGGAACTGGAAATCGTACAACTAGAAAGTCGAGCAGATAGGGAATTTGGAATCTATGGATTGAAGAAATCCAGATAATGTAGGGAATCGGGGGACTAGGGAATTTTGGCTCTAGAAAAAGAAGGAATGTAGGGAATTTACAATCTAGGAAGTTAGGGAATTGTGAATCTAGGGAATTTGATAATCGAAAGATTGAATAAATCTAGGGAATTTGAGAATTCAGAGAATTTGGGGATCTAGGGTATTTGGAAATCTACGGATTCTGAGATTTAGAGAATGAGGGAGTTAGAGGCTTGAACAGCAATAGATTTTAGAATTTAGTGATTTACGTTTAGAAATTTAGAAATTTCAGAATTAGAAACATAAAATTTTATTGTTCCATCATTTCGAAATTTGAACATTTAGAAATTTAGAAATTTAGAAATTTAGAAATTTGTAGAATTTTGAATTTAAATATTTAATAATTTAGGAGTTTGAAAATTAAAAACTTTGTGACTCCGAAAATTGTTGAATTTTTAATATGAATTACATAAAGTATTCTGCCCCCAATGTACCCTGATTCCCCCTATTTAGTTACGCTACTGCGCTTACTGGACTTTATATTTCACCGTC